AAACACTTAAATGGAAGTCCTAAAACTCTAGGGGGAAAGCTTGACATTACTCTGGACAATGATTTTTTTAAAACAAGATCCAAAGCAGAGGCAACAAAAGCAAAACTAGGAAATGGGATTGCATCAAACTAAAAAACTTCCACAAGCAAAGTAAATAATCAACAGAATGAAAAGACAACCTTCAAAATGGGAGAAAACATCTAAGGATATATATATATATATATATATATATATATATATATATATATATATATATATATATATGTGTGTGTGTGTGTGTGTGTGTGTGTGTGTGTATATATATATATATATATATATATATATATATATATATATATACACTTCTATAATTCAATAGCAAAAATTCAAAAATAACCTATTTTTAAAATGAGCAAAGGACCTGGAAGATGTGTCTCAAAAGAAGACATACAAATGGCCAACAGGTATATGAAAAGAATCATCAGAGAAATGAAAATCAAAACCACAATGATATCATCTCACAATTGTTAAAATGTCTATTTTCAAAGACAAAAGATAAGTTCTGGTGAGGCTATGGAGAAAAGGGAACCTTTGTGCATTGTTGGTTGGAATGTAAATTGGCGCAACCACTATGGGAAACAGTATGGAAGTTCCTCAAAAATTAAAACAGAACTACCATATGACCCAGCAATACCACTCTGGGAATATATCCAAAGAAAATGAAGCCAAGAATATGAAGAGATATTTGCATTTTTATATTCATTACAACATTATTCACAATACCAAAGATATGAAAACAACCTCTGTGTCCATTAAAGGACAAATGGATTAAAAATGTGGTATATATGTACAGTTGTATAGCCTTCTAAGAGAAGGAAATCCTGCTATTTGCAATAACATGGATGATCATGAAGGACATTATTCCACATGAAATAAGCCAGACAGAGAAAAACAACTACAATACTTCATGATCTCAATTATATCGAATCTAAAAAAGTTGAACTCATAAGGGCAGGGTAGAGTGGTGGTTACCAGGATCTAGGTGCTGGGGAAAATGGAAAGTTGTTACTGTTTCAGCTATGCAAATTTCAGTTATTCATGATGAACCCATTCTGGATATCTGATGTAGGACATGGTGACTATCTATAATAATAAAAGTGTAATATGCAAATCAACTGAACAACCAAACAGCAGAACCACCATCCAGACGACTTTCGGACAACCATGCTATGACACACACTGGTGCCAGACCAGCCAAGGCAGATGTGATGTGATTGGGGGGGAGGGGGGGCTGCCATTCTCCCATGATTGCCCCACAGAGGGAGACCCAGGCCACCAGCTGGTGGAGCGATCCATCTCGTGGCGAGGTAGGGGGGAGTGGTCTCTGTGATCGCCCAGCAGAGGAAGGCCAGGCCACCCTCTGCATGGCAATCGATCACAAAGCCTCAGCAGGTGGTGGGTCTTCCCTCTGTTGGGTGATCGATCCCAGAGGCCCACAATTGATCGCCTCACAGAGGGAAGCACAGGCCACTGGCCAGCGACACTGTGGTGGGTGTGTGGGCTGGCCACCAATCACCCTACAGAGGGAGACCCAGGTCAGCTAAGCGATCACACCCCACACCTGTCACCCACAGAGGGAGGCAACCAGTGGTCAGGAGGGGGGACAGCAGCACACAAATAGCAAGCAGTGACAGCTGTGGGGTTGTGGGCAGGGCCAGCTGCTGGCAACCAGGGGAAGGAAATCCCACATAGGCCCTGATCACCGACCAGGCCTAGGGACCTTACCCAAGGGATCCTAGATTGCAAAAGGGTGCAGCCAGAACTCAGGGACACTCCTTCCCCCATGCATGACTTTCATGCACCATGCTTCTAGTAGTTAATAATATTGTATTGTATACTGAAAATGTGCTAAGTTGATTTTAAGGGTTCTCACCACACACACACACAAAATGTTAACTGTGAGGTGATAAATACATAATTAGCTTGATTATGATAATCATTTTATAATATATATGTATATTAAAACATCAAGTTGTATATCTTAAATATATACAATTTTTATTTGTCAATTATATCTCAACAAAGCTGGGGAAAGGAAAAAAGAGGGGGAAAGTGGGCTTTTCACACTTCCAGTCCCCACTCATGTTACACCTGTCAGATGAGAGGTGATTGCCCTTCTCTAGCTCAATAAAATGTATTCCTTTTTACTGAAATAAGATGCAACTTGCAGGAACCAGGAGGTAGAGTCTGTTCAAAATGGATTTCACACTTTTGCCCCCATCACATCAGTCCAAGTCTTGGAGAGAGAACTTCCCCAAAGCTGTGCGCTGGGCCTGAGGATGCTCTCCACACCTGCCGAGCTCTCACCTCTCCCCGCTGCTCACTCAGTGACAGGAGATTTTCAAGGTTACTTTTCACACAGTCTGAAACCAAGCCCTCATAGGGAATGCTAAGTAATGATCTCTAGCAAGGAAGAACAAGAGAACTCTAATTCTATTATTACTTCCCTCAAGGCAGAAGTTATGTTCCTGTGGTGAAATCCAATTACAACTTCTTCTAGCTTTATTTGGAAATGAAAGATTTTTTTTCCTAACCCCTTAAAAAACTGTAAGCAATATTCCCGAACAAGGGGTCCTGAGTCACAAATTTGTAGACTTAATTTATCCTACCTCAGTGCAACCTAAAAATGGTGCAAAATAACAATGGTTAAGTATTTATTACTTTAGAATAATGTCAGCTATTCCCACGAAAGAAAAACAACATCATTATATGGTTGCGCCTGGGCCCTTGAACATATTTGGGATATTCTTGGGTAATCCTTATAATATGACCTGTCACCAGTGGAATGCCAACCTTTCTGGCACAAGTAGGAGTTAGAGGCTGGGGTAGAAAAGCGGACCTGCCATTACACCTGGATGGGGCACAGCTCCATGGGCATCATAGGACTTGGCATGCTTTCTGTGTGAGGGAAAATTAACTGGATGAAACACAAGTGATTGGTACTGCAGCCATCTTAATAAATGACTAGACCCAACCACCTAGATACATAATAAAACAAAACAAAGCCCTCAGCTCTAGCCAGTTTTGCTCAGTGGTTAAAGTGTTGGATTCGATTCTGATCAAGGGCATGTACCTCAGTTGCAGACTCTGTCCCTGGCCCCTGTCAGGGCATATGCCAGAGGCAACCAATTGAAGTGTCTCTCTCACATTCTAATCAACTGGAATGGACAATTTCTCTGTCTCTCTATTATACACACACACACACACACACACACACACACACACACACACACCGCCCTTGGTCCATTTCCTCTAAAAAATTCCTGAGAATAATATCCTCAGATGAGGATTAACAAAATCAAAAACCCTCATGTCATTAATGTTGCATAGTCTTGGTCATCTATGTGTAAAGTCATCTTCAGAGATTTAACCCATAGATAGTTTTAAATCGCTATAAGTAAGCAGCAATGATATTGGAGACTTATTTCCCATTGTGAGAAATGTTTGTGCATTACTTAGTGCAAAATAACAGACGGATAAAATGATGTATCTCTACTAGACATTTCAAAAGTGCAACACATCATCACATACTCTAAATGAAGAAATAGACATTTGCCTGAAACTTGCAACACAAATGCCATTTTTCTAAATTTTATAACAGTTTTTATCTTGGTGAATGGGGTGGGAGAATGGGGAGTGGATTAGAACCTTTACTTTCTATGCTCTATATTTCTGTAATGTTTAAGGTTTTCATAAAGACCATGTATCACATTTAAGCAATTATAATAAAAATCAATTCATAAAAAATAAGTTCAATAAAAATTTTACATATATACAGTTCTACATCAGCAATTTTTAATGGGTGCCACAAGAATTTTTAAAACATGTAATACCTGACTGTTAAGTCAGGGGCACTGACCTCATTTCCCTTAGATTGCCAACTTTTTTTAAATGACAACAGTCAATACAACAATAGCTGCCAACAATTATACCTATTTTTTGTGAGATCAGCAAAAAATATATTTTTTTTTGGTGTGCCACAGAATTTTGGTAATTAGTTATGTATTCCATGAGATGAAAAAGGTTGAAGATAGCTGTTCTACATCATTAATGATGAACCAATCCTTGTTTCAAAACAAGACAGAGAATTGTTTTTTAAAAAAAACCAATTTTGATAAACTCAGTGCTTGTCCCTATAAGGGCAACAAGGCGGTATGATTAGCTTGCTCCAAAAAATGCTTTCTTCTTTAAAATTCCATTTGGTTTCTCATTCTATGATCCACTGCTTAATGAGCCAATTTAGTTGACCTTTCCCCAAGGTTCACTCAAAACTCTTCCTAAATAATTTCAAAGTCCTTTTGCTGGAGCAGGTGTTATTTTTCAAGTAGCTCTCACCAAAGGCCAGTATAATTAACAACCTTCAGATTCGAAGACTTTAGGGTCTCATTTCTGACAAAGCATACATATGCCACATGCACAGTAATGTTTTTGAAACTTCGGTTTTATAACGAGATTTAAACACCATAATAAAAGAACTCTGCAAAGTTTTAAATATTCAGTTCCTTTTTCTCTAAGAACAACTCTTAAGGGCTTAGAGATAGTCACTTCTTGCAGCCAAATGATCTGTTTTCTGTGAAACTGTCAAGTTGTATTTTCAGGGTCCTCTCTTTCATTTTCAGATCCTTCACATGTCATCAGGTAGCTGAAGTCAGCTACACTGGTAAGTAAGCTATACAAAGCAGATTGGCAATTCAGCCTGCAAATTTAGTATTGTAACTGACTCTTAAATCTGCAGTGTTCAAGACTTAAAGGAATGGCATCCCATAATAGCAAATGCAGACAATATGAGTTCTCAATGTTCTCCAGGTTTAGTTTGCTTTGGAGAAGAGGTGTTCTGAAATTGTCTAAATGTAACAAATAGACATTTTGGATGAAGTGCCTAAATGTTCAGAAATATGCTCTGAGCTTCTTGCTCTGATTTGCTCCACAATACCTCTAACATGTCTGATTTGATATTTTAGGAGTTCGTGATGATTGTCGTCTTTGGTTTGGAGTTCATCATTCGAATCTGGTCTGCAGGTTGCTGTTGTCGGTACAGAGGATGGCAAGGAAGACTGAGGTTTGCCCGAAAGCCCTTCTGTGTTATAGGTAAATATCAAAGTCCAGACACCTGGACTTCTGCATCCTTTTCTTCTGTCTACTGTATTGCAACATTTAATTTATATTAAAATTAATATTTGTAGAGTATCACATCAGGCACGCTTGTGTTTTTAAAGGTGTTGACTCACTTAATCCTCATCACAGCACTGTGTGGTAGGTATTTTTATTACCCCATTTTACAGATGAAGAAATTGAGTCAAAGAAAAGTGACTTAAAAGTCATATAAGTAGTAAATGGTGGAGCTGGGATTTGAGCCAGAAGGTCTGGCTCTAGAATACCCACTTGCATCAATTAAGTTACACTGAACTATTTGGTTCTCAGTGTTGACCTGAATTAGAGAAGCATTAATTTCAATAAATGTTTCAAAAAAAGTTTTCTCCCCCACAATATAAGCAATATCCCTTTATGCTTCTAATGAATTAGAATGGATAGAAGTGTATTAGACTTGGTAATGCATGTCAATTAGTATGCCTCAAGTTTTTTTTATTTTATGTACTGGTAACTTCATACAGGATTAAGTGTTTTATACGCTGAAATATGAGACATCCACCCTGCAGTTCATAAGTAAGAATCACATCTCTGCACCTCCCTAGATGCTGTGGTTTTCAGAGGGATTCCATTCACCTAGGTACCAACTTCAAATTACACTTCTTAATGAAGATGTCATATAGCATTCTGGTGTTAAGATCTGGGATCTTCCAGGAATATGTTTAAAAGTATATCATAAAATTGAAAACTCTAGTAAATTGTATCTCAAAAAAATATTTTTAAAAAGAGTAAGTTGCCTACATCAAAGTCCTTTTCCCCTAAATATTGCAATGTAGATTTCCTAAGGATACGGATGTTCCTTTACATAACCTTCAATAAATTTAACATTGATCCAACACTTTATCTATTCTCCTGGTTGTATTCCAGTTTTGTCAGCTGACCCAGTGATGTCAGCATTTTTTCCTCCTCAGTACATAATCCAGTCGAAGATCACATGCCACATTTAGTTGCCATGTATCTTTAGTCTCCTTTAATCTAGAACAATTCCTCAGACCTTCTTTGCCTCATGACATTGACATTTTAGAAGAACATAACTTCAGCCCCACCCCCTTTTTAAAAATAGAATGTTCCTCCTTTTGAGGGGAAAAACCCTATACATACAACTATTATTGTTATAGTAGTTGTTGCTGTTGTTATTTAACAGCTAAATCTGGTTTTCTTGCTCTTCTTGCCTTCTCGCTTCTTTGGCAGCCACTCAAATCCAAATACTGAAAGTTCTTATGGTTACTTATTTCAACCTTTTCCACTCTAAGAAAGTGGATTTTTAATCTACAAAGTGACTTAGACTATCTTCTTCATCTACAACGGATTTTCATTTTGTTTTAGAAGTCAGGAGCTGTTGAGCAATCTTCTTAGTCTCCTCCTTTACCCTTGTTTCCTGAGGCAGGGGCAGAGTGAACTTAAGGAGCATTGGAGAAGGTGTCTCCCTATCCACGGGCCCTGTTCAGGACCATCTTTCATTCCACCCTTGTTGCAAAGGAAGAGCACTGTCCTGGGGGTGGAAGAATGGGTGAGCTCCCCATACTCTCTGACACTGAGGCAATTTCATGGTATACACACTTCAAAAGAGTTACCATTTATTCGGTCAAACTTTATAGAAATTTGGCAGTGTTTGAAGCACCAGGGTGATAATAGTGAAATTCTAAATTAACACAGTTTTAAAATGCCTTGTTTGGCCTCTGCTAGTGAATTTTATTTGTCTAGCTTCCTCTCTTCTGTAAGAATGGGCTTTTCTCCTCTTTGGAAACCATTGCTCAGGTAGAGAGGAAAACAGGTAGGAACTTCCAGCCTTGCAGGCCTGTTCAGCCCCAAAGCATATTAGTGAAGGCTTTTGATCTTTCTCCCTGGAGATTTTTTTTTCTTCTTTCTGAATTCTCTGTTCAAACAACATCACAGAGGACTGTAACTTGATGTGAAACCATTGCATGAGTACTTTCTGTCCTACAAGGGACCCAAACAAAACAATTTACAAGGCAAATGTTGGCCAAGACTCACTCAGCTTCTACAGAATAAGATTGGTTCATGGATGGCTGCAGGAATGTTCCACTCCAGACTTTAAAACCAATTACAAATTGGTTTTGTTCCAGCTCCAGAGGCAATGCCAATGTATTTCCGGCCCCAGAGCTGAAAAGTTCTTTCCCAGATGCCTGCTGCCTTTTGATAGCTGTTTTTAACCCTGGATGCATCAGCCTCTCTTAGTGCTTTAATCTTTCTCTCCCTGTATCAGATCCTTGAGGTTTGGATGTGACATGTGGTTCTAAAAATGATGTTATGTTATATGTAATTTTAGACACCTTTGACCCTGTCAATAGTGACCTTACAAATTTAGTATCACATGGCTTAGGCATAGTTTGGGTATTTTTGTAAATTAATCACTTTGGAAGAAAATTCCATGAATAAGTATATAATGAATCCCTATTAGAATAAAGACAATATTTATACCTACATTTAGGGTAACTATGCATTTTTCAGCCTCTTATTGAAAATGCATATAGCTGTTTGTCCCATGGCCCCCGTGAATTGAGGTAATATTCAAATGTGTGGCTCTTTAGTATGAGGTCAATACAATTTTAACTTACACAGAGGAACCAAATGTCACCTGTATGAGGCAGAAGGCTGTGCCAGATGACAAAACCCCTTCTGGGCCTGTTTAATAGGTCCATAAAAATGATTGATGTCACTGATAAAATGATAAAGTATAATGTAAACTGAACCTTGTAATTCCCATGTTCAACATAATTTACTGTGATGAAATGGAACAAGAAATAATATCTCTCTCATCTGTCCATGGCATCTGCTCTGAGTTTGGAAATGTAGCTAAGATTTCTCAGGTCTCCATGTGTTTGTATGATTTGATTACTCTGAACATGCCAAATACACACCCAAATGTTTTTAGGCGTCTTAAGCATTCAAGAAAAAGATATTGATAAGATTGTAATAAGCTGGCTGTACCTTCAATGTGAAAAATGCTTTCTGTAAGCACACCAATATTATTCTTTTAGGTTGGAAAGAGATGAAAGCTACCTGAGTGGCCATCTAGTAACCTTTCTATAGTATTGAGCACTATAGACCAAATGATAGTATTTGGACACAATTTGATAGCGGTCCCATGGCTAATTCCCAAAGTCTTTAGAACTTCCCCTTCCTGAACTGCCCAACTTCTAACCAGAACCAGGAGCATTTAAAGCACTTGTTGATTTAAGAAATCAGAAAATCATTGTATATTTGTGTCTCGAAAAATCATTTTAAACAATTAATTACCTAGGGAAAGAGAAAAGTCTATTATTATTTTTTTAATTATGTGCTGTCTTTCATTACTGTAATTATCTCTGCTTGGTTTGGGGAGTTTCCTTTGAAAACTAGTAAAATTTCTTTTTTTATTATAAAATCATTCCTTATGCCTAAATATTTAATCTACCTCTCCCCTCAAAGACTCTGTTGAAATAATATTTCTACAACTATGGACAATAATCATTGCCTTACCAATTTGTAGGGTCGAGTATATTTTAGGGTGACAATCCAGGTTGCCCTTAACAATATTTCTACATTCAAGCACAAATCACTCATTCAATGACCTCAATATTGAGAATGTGTGAAATAACTTCAAAGAATGATTTTGTAGTCATTATTATTTCAAGCTTTTATTAATGGCCTACCTGAAAATTGCAAATAGTACCAAAGGCTGGTACTTAGATCAGGATAATGAGCCTGGTGTGTCAGGAAGCCAACAAATCACTTCCAACAGTGGCTTGTTTGGATTCCCTGGTGATTTTAAAGACAGATATAATAGGGCCATATTTTCCAGTTTTGCAGTGCATCTTAAAGAAGCAGAAAATACCAGTCTGTTATTAATCTTGGATCTGTACTTGGTGCTAAATTTAAGTTGATATCTTAATGCAGTTTTTAACAGTTTTCCTTCAGTGTAATATTTCCACAAGAAGACAAAGGAAACAAAGCACAGCACAGATCTTTCCCCCATGAATTGAGAACATGTGCCTTTGACGTGAGATAACAGTCTCTCAGGAAAATGCCAACAAGTGAATTTTTTTAATAAGAAAAAATAACCAGCTTCTTACTTGGCTAAAACAAAATAGAAGCCTTTATTAAAGTCAACCACACAGCCAAGACCACTCTAATATGTCTGGGAGTTCATCCCATTAAAAGGCAACTTCAGCTGCTAATGTGTTCAAAAGTTAAATCAGAGATTCCAAGAACTGCCACTGCCCTCTCAACTGAAGATTTGAGACATTATTCTTCATCACTATCAACAGACATTCAGCATGTTTTGTTTTGTTTTGTTTTTGTTTTGTTTTTGCTTCTCTGCCTTCTCCATCTTCAATTCTATGAAACATTGAATTTTGTTCTAAGCCTTTGAATTGCATCATTTTATATACCTTCTAATCTTTTCTCTCCTTTGTAGAAATTATATTCTCTCCTACTTCCTATCTTCTTCTGTTTCTCTTTACTTCTAAGTCTTCAAACTAGTTCACATGTAGATGTATTCTATGTGATTCATTGGACCATCTGAGGACAATTAAACCCTGTTGGATTGATTTATCACAAAAAGCCATTAAAGTCATTTCAATCCCTTTAGTTATTGATAGCTGATATTTACTAAGACCTGCTCTATACTAGGTACTGCTCTCTGTAAATATTATATCCCATTTTGTATGAGGAAGTAAGACAGGGTTTAAGAGACTTGTCCACAGAAAGGTGGTAGATGAAAGAAACAAGGTTCACTGATTATTATTTTACTCTAGAAAAATATACTTACCTAATGTGCTATTTTTACTCACAACATCAAATCTGAAGTGTGTTCCTTTTTGTGTTGCTTTTTTTTTTCTCATACCAGCCAATTCTCCAACTCTTCAAGACACCAACTGGGTATTCGTCAACTCAATTCAATTCTGATACTAACTATACAGAGTTAGTGCAGATTC